ATCCCTTGAGATGTGCTCCCCAGCCTGAGTTGGAGGCGTCCGTTGTCAGGGACATGGACGGATGTGGCTGTATGAATGGCATGCCTAGGCGAACATTGTGTACCTTTGTCCACCATGTGAGGGAGTGTAGCACTACGTGTGGTGGGTGGAGGATTCGGGACTGCGGATCGTGGAGGGGGTCGAAAGTTCTGATGAACCAGTTTTGTAGAGGCCTCATCCGAAGCCGGGCAAAGGGGGTTACGCTGGTAGTAGATGCCATATGGCCAAGTATAGATTGGATGGCCCAGGCCGAGGCCTGTTGTGTTTGGATGAGTGAAAGAATAGCTTGTTGGAGTTTTAAAAAGCGGTCCTCTGGGAGGAAGGCTCTTTGGAGTGTGGAGTCTATGATGGCTCCTATGAATTGAATGCGTTGTGTTGGTTGAAGATGAGATTTTTTGTGGTTCACCACTAGGCCGAGATCCTGTAAAAGAGATAAGGTGTAATGAATATCTGTGCATAATTGAGACTTTGAAGTCGAGGCCAACATCCAGTCATCCAGGTACGGGAAAACTGTTATGCCTTGTTGGTGGAGGTGTGCGGCTATGACCGCCATGCATTTTGTAAACACCCTGGGGGCGGTGGACAAACCAAAAGGTAGAGAATTAAACGAAAAATGGTAATTTTGGACCGTGAAGGTAAGAAACCTTCGGTGGGAGTGTCTAATTGAGATGTGGAAGTATGCATCTCATAGGTCAACTGTTGCTAACCATGCCCCTTCGGGAATGAAGGGAAGAATGTTGGGGAGAGTGACCATGCGAAATCTGCGTGGGGTAATGAAAGTGTTGAGTTTGCGGAGGTCCAAGATGGGCCGGAGTCCACCATCTTTTTTGTCTATGAGAAAGTAATGAGAGTAGAAGCAGGTGTTAGATGTGTGTGAAGGTATGGAGGAGATTGCTCCTTTAATGAGCAAGGAGTGAACCTCGTCCCATATGGTCTGGGAGGGTTGTGTGACGATGACTTTCCCAACAGGTGGGTAGTCATCAAACTCAATTGCATAACCTCTATCAATTATATCAAGGACCCAAGTGTCTGTGGTTATGGATTGCCACTGTGGGAGGAATGAATGTAGTCTATTGAGGTAAGTGAGGTGTTGGGTGGTTGGTGGGGGAGGGAAGGAAATGTTAAAAACGTCTTTTGTTGTTGTTTGGGGGTCTGGTACCACGGTACTGACCTCTTGAGGGAAGTGGAGGGCGTCTCGTAGCCGCAGTGGGCGCATATGGTCGTTGTCGTCCTCTGTAGAATGAGGTGTTGTAAGGTTTGTTGTAAAATTGGGGGCGATAATAGTAGGAGCCCCAGCGCTGTCGTTGGTAAGTGTACGGTTGTTGGTCATATTTGTACACTGTTTGTTTCATCTCATGAGAGTGTTTTAGTTGTGAGTCGGTCTCAGGGTTGAATAGGCCTGCCTCATCCATAGGGAGATCCTCAATGAGAGAACGTTGAGATTGAGAAAGGATCGCATCTCTAAGCCATGCATGACGGCGAAGGGCTACTGATCCTGCAATTAGTTTCCCAGAATTATCAGCAGTGTTTCTTGCTAGGTCTTTTTGCAGTTTGGCTAAGAGAAGGGCCTCTTGTTGGAAAGCCTTAGCCAGTGGTTGCTCAGTTGGTGGTAAGAGTTCTAGGTATGGGGATATCTTGTTCCAGAGGAGAGTCTGGTAAACACTCATGTAAACCCCATAATGGGCCATGCGTGCGAAAAGGCATGCTGAGGAATAGAATTTTTTGGCCATAGAGTCTAGCTTCCTCCCTTCTTTGTCAGAGGGGGATGCTTGGTTTCTTTGGATAGGTCTTGGTTGAGCATCGGTCACCACAGAGTTTGCCTTAGGCATCTTAGAGAGCCATGAGGCTGTGGAAAGATCAATACGGTATAAGTTTTCTGCTCTTTTAGGGGTTGCTGGAACCAAGGCTGGGGCAACTCCTGTATTTTTTAGAATTTTCAAGAGAAATGGAAGTGTGGGCAACACAGTAGATGTAGGTGTTTGTTGTTCAGTGGATGTAAAGCATGGATCTGACACAGTATCTGAAGGTTCAGGAGTGGCAAAGTTTAGGGCTTTGGCAAGCCTTATTAACAGAGCTGAGAATTTTTTAAAATCTTCTAAATGTTGAGGGGAAGGGTCAGGGTCTGGTTGGGGATCTTGAATGACTGGTGTGTCATTTGTGGACTCCAAATCGATAGTATCTGTTTCTATTTGGGGGGGCATGGTAGGTTCCAAATTAAAGCCCTGGGGATCCATGTCCCCTTGGGGATTTGGGGGACGAGAGAGTGTAGCGGAAGGGGGTTCACGCGGGGGTTGGGGAAAGTTTGGATCAGAGTAATGAGGTGGATGCATTCCCCTGAATGAATCAGGGGGGGGGGTGGGTAGTAGAAGGGATAAACAGGGAAGGGAGGAGGGGGAGGGTACATGTGGTAAGGATATTCCTGGTATCCATAAGGCTGCTGGTGAGAAGGAGGCACTGTGCGCGTCCTTTTGGGAGGGGGAAGAGAAGAAGTTGTGGGCTGGTGTGGAACCGGGGATGGAGAGCGGCGGCGGCGTCCGCTGGAGTGCGCCGAGGCGCTGGGCTGAGCCGGGGATGGTGACTCATCCGGTTCCGGGGATTGGGGAGGGCTGAGTGAAGGAGGTGAATTTTGAGAGGGTGGGAGGGGCGGGGGGGGAGAGAGAAGCGTCTGGAGGAGGCTGCGGTTCCAGCTCCATGTGTGGAGCTAAGAGCTCGAGAGGGGGGAGATGGGAGGGGTCTTCCATGTGGAGGAGGGAAGGGAGCGGTTCCTGGAGCTGCAATGTGGAACCGGGGAGAAAAGGCACAGACTGCAATACAGGGGGACTCAAGGGCTGTGTGCCAGTGAGTTGCCGTCCCTTTTTTTGTTTGTTTGATTTTTCTTTCGCTTTTGAAGACCTCGTGGTCTGTTTAGCTGTTTTGGATTTCTTTTTCTGCGGCTCCACAGTGGGAGAGTCCGCTTGCTCTCTATCCCGCCTATCCCCAACGCGTGGGGAGGGAGGCTGGGAGGTAACTTGAACAGGGGAGGATTGAGAGGCGGGAGGAGCTTGCGGGGCCAGGGCCCGCTCGTATAAGAGAGCTTTTAATCTGGCATCTCTGCCTTTGCGAGCTCTGGACGTGAAGCTAAGGCAAATCTCGCAAGTCTGGAGATTGTGAGTCTCTCCTAGACATAAAAGGCATTTAGAGTGTTTGTCTGCCTCGGGGAGGTTGGCCCCGCAGGAGGAACAGTTTTTAAAACAGAGGGAAGACATCTAGCCTGATTTAGAATGGTCGTCAGCCGGTCCGTGGTCGAGGGAAGGAGAGGTCTGGTAGTCGAGGGAGAGTCCTGGTCAAAAAAAGCCAATAGAGTCCGAAAAGAGAAGGAGAAGTCCTGACGATGCTGCCTGTTTGGCGCGGAAAAAGGAACTACCTCTCAGACGCCCGCGGGGGCTGATATACCGGGGGGCGGAGAGTGGGCGGGGCTTATGTTTATTCTTTAAATAATCATTTAAAAATTCATTAAAAATTCTAGAAGTTCCGGATTGCTGCGCGTGCGCACAGGAGAACCCATAGGTGTGCATTTCATGGAAGACACGAAGAAAAAACTTGGTGGTAGCCCTGTCCACCCTGCCCTGGAGGATATAGCTGTCAGGCGGGGTTGGCACCTCAGTTCCTTTTCATCTGCAGTGTTAGCAGCAACAAGGAATTTCTCTTAGATAAGTTACCTTGTTAAGTATTATTTCCTGCCTACTGCAGTTTTTTTCATATTGGCTTTCGGTTATTTGACTTCTCTTCAGTTACTCCTACTTGGTATTTTTTCCTATGCTTGACTTGCACTGACTACAGAATGCGTGGCATGTAGAGGAAGGCTTTTAGACACTGGTGGTCACTCAATGTGTATGCTCTGCTTCAGGGGGGAGGCTCATGTGGTGAAGATGTTGCCAAACTTTCACCACCACCACCCCAGAATGGAAGAATCAAGAATTGTGCCTTAAAATGCTATGTGCAGGCACTTATAGCTTTGCCTTTCTGACCAAAGAAACCGTCCATATTAGAGTTGCTGCACAGCGGCTGGCCCCACGTGAAAGGAGGTGCACCCATCCCCCTTTGGCATCAAGGGGCAGCACACAATGCTAACAGCCCTCAAAATGGGGCGAAAGGGTGCAAGGAGAGTAAGCGGTGTTGGTGTCCTCTTCCGGGGTTCAAGATCTGCCCCAGCTGGTGTTACCATCGCAGCAAGCCCCATCTGCACCTTTGTGTGTTGGCATGGACACTGCTGTACTTGACTCAAATGTTGCCTCGCTTACGGCAAGCTTCTACAAGTGCCTCTTGCACAATGCCCCCTCCCCTTCACAGCATCTTCCATGCAGTCATTTCATTTGTTATTGGACATGGGATTTCTTAAGATAAAAGTCGTATTTTTTTTAAAAGAATTGGATCCAATTGAACTTACCCTTGCATGTTATAACATCCTGACATGAAATTGTAGTGCACCTAATGGCCTTTGTTTCCTGGTGTGACACACCTTGTGATATTCACTATGGTACTACTTGAAGCTGCAAGCAGTTTGCCACATTCCCACACTTTTGGATCCAGCTCTTCTTTGAACTAAGCCACTATTGACACAATGCAGCCTATTTCTAACTCTTTCTCCCTTTGCCTCCATGCAGAGCACAACTTCAGAAATTACACTTGGATCCTGGCATTCACCTAAAGCTTCCTTGTATGATGATATCAGTATCTTTGTCAGAATGGCTAGGACCATCCAGCATTAAGAAATACCTGAGTCAAGAAAATTATAAAGATTACACAATATTCTAATTGTACCTATCATTTAAGAAAATTTAGGAAAAGGTTGGGCTTTTTAATAGCTAATAGTTGTTTGGCTCCAAAGATCATATTTACACACACAACATAAACATGTTGTCTCTCAGGACATGTGATTGGTGTGGTCCTGCCGGTAGTGTTTTTGCCTATCCCTTGACAAGGAAATGAGTCAGGAGAGGGAGGTTAAACTTTCTCCTGCCTCGGAGATAAAGGTATACATGGAGCTGATACTCTACGCTGACCCAGGTAAGTTAACAGCCTTCCCTTTATTACTACCTTATCTCCCCCTACTACCCCACCCACCGAATGCACTTGAAATTTCTGCGTTCTCCCGAAAACAACGGCGGGACTGAAAAGTGCAAGAGGAAAATGCAGTCTGTGTGAAAAAATGCTAGGCAACTCGCAATGGGTGAGACACAATTCAGCTTTACAAGCACGTCAGATTGCTGAACAGAAAGGAACATTTAGGTTAGCAGATGTGATAGATGCTCTGGACAATTATAGTGTCATCAGTGTGGGGAATCCAGCTTTTCCCTATGGGGTGCAGCTTATGCTAAGCTGGCATCTTCCCAATGTATTCTGCTACAACTCCCATCATTCTAATCAGTATAACAACTAGAAGAGGAATATAGGAGTTGTATATCACTAGATTGGGGAATAATATTACTTTGTCCACTTTTAACATGATTGAAAAAATTCTTATTTGAGATGGGATGCCTTGCCCTGCGGTCTTCAAATGATTCTAAATGCTTTAGCTACATTCAGTTACACAATCTAGGTTAGTCTGTGGCTGACAGGTACACTGCAAAAGACATTTTACAGTCAGCATACTATTTAGAAAGTGCTATTTGCTTAATGCATTAGCCCTGTCCCATGCATTCCAAGGTCCATTGTTTTAGGATGGAGTTGGTGACTGTAGTACACGTCGAACTATGAATTGAACACAATATGGAGTTCTTTGTTAGTGTAGTTATTGTGATCGCCAAAAGAAAGGACTGATGAGACGCAAACGAACCATTGAAGACCAGTGTCAAAAACTGAATTTTATTATAAAGGGTCCACAGTAACAGAGAATTGCATACTTCCAGTGCTAAATCCTATTCAGAGCATTTGAAAGAGGAATAAGCAGAGGATAAGAATAATAATAAAACTTTATTTTTAGACCACCCTCTCTCCCCAAGAGGACTCAGAGTGGTTTACACACAAGAAAGACAAACATTCAATGCCCAATTCAAATACAAACATTTAAAACTAAACAGGATAATACAAAAATAATAACCATAAACTTATGACAAAAGAGAAATTAACACCAAAATGAGGACAAAATGTGAATAATCAAATAAACCTAATTATACTAATAGCATTAATTAACCATTTAGACATAAATCCTAGAAAAGGCAAATAAATACATTAAAATGACTATCAAGGTTGTTCTTGGTAAGTGTGGCTTAATATACTGAACACTTGATTGGTTTCAGTCTCAACTGGTCATTCTTAAAGTTAGGTTCCTTCTTTTCTTCTTTTGTCTACTGTGAACATTTTGAAATATTCCAGTGAAGCTGTTAAAATTTCTGTCTTGACCACCATACTAAGCAATGCACCTGAAATTTGTTACTATCAGCCAGCCAAATACAAGGCATTCTTGAAATTCTTCTTTTTATGTAAACATTCACAGGGAGAGCCCTGAATACAGAAGTTTCTTAGTTTTCCTCAGGCAATAAAATGGGTGGCCCTACTGAGAGAATATAGCATTGCTGATGTATAACAATCAATGTGTGACCCACTCAAGAGTTAACACATTACCACTTCTTCCTGATGTTGTTGAATGACAACTCCCAGCAGCAGTCCAATGACATCTGAGGGCCACACAATCCCTTCCCAGCTTGACCTCTAACATGGCTTCTATACTTTCAGGAGAGAAAGGGGGACGTCTCTCTTGGAAATTCTTGAACACCATGATATTTCTGCCACCCTTCCCCAGCATTTGTTCATACAGGAGGCAGCAAGCCTGGGCTGTTTTGTCTCGAAATGTGTAAACAGTCTTGCTAAGCGCACTGAGCAGGCGTTCCCAACCCTTCGGCTTATTGGGACTTAAAAAATGACCAAAAAGAAATCGAGTGATTTGTATTCCTTCATTAGAGGAGGGCAGAGCACCCAGTTCAAGCAGAAAAGGAGCGCGTGGAGGCCTTAACGAGAGGCAGTTGGCATGGCAAAGCGCACACTTCCTGTCAGCAATGATAGGGTTACTGTCTGCTTTACTATAATCGACAGATAATGCAATAAGAAATTGATTTACATTTCCTCCCTGTGTGGAATGAAATTATATGGTCCACAGGGAGATATCACTACCAACAGAACAGACTCCCAGAGGGAAAGGCAGCAGCTGAGGACAAAGTTTAGCTTGGAATATCAAACCCGCAGCACCTGTTGGATCGAGCATTGCTTAAACCTGACAGTTTTCTCTTCCAAGGTAGGTGTTCAATATGTAGGAAAATATATAGGGAAGAATTGCTTTGCATTACAAACATCGGGCATTGTGCATATGTGTGTGTATATGTATGTGTGTGTATATATCAACAGGAAATTCCAAGCCATGTAGAAGTAGAGTTATGCCTCAGCTAATTGTGGGAGGAGCCCCTGGTGCCGCAGTGGGTTAAACCACCGAGCTGATAAATTTGCTGACCAAAAGGTCGCAGGTTCGAATCCAAGGAGCAGCATGAGCTTCCACTGTCAGCCCCAGTTTCTGCCAACCTAGCAGTTTGAAAACATGCAAACGTGAGTAGATCAATAGGTACCATGCAGTCAATTATTTATTTATTTATTTATTTATTTATTTATTTATTTATTTATGACATTTATATGCCACTCTTCTCACCCCGAAGGGGACTCAGAGCGGCTTACAAGATATATATATATATATATATATACATACAATACATTATATTATTAGCATAGTACAATATCAGTATTATATATTACTATATTGTACTATACCATTATATTGTAATAGTATTAGTAATATTACATGTAATATAAAATATTTAATTATAATATATCATTATTACTAGTATTATATTGTATTACATTATAATATTATAAATATTATATGTATATATAATACATTATATCATATAATATTATAATGCCAGCCACATGACCTTGGAGGTGTCTATGGACAATGCCAGCTCTTTGACTTAGAAATGGAGATGAGCAGCAACCCCCAGAGTCGGACACGACTGGACTTAATGTCAGGAAAAATCTTTACCTAATTGTGGACCATGAAAGAAAAATTATCCTTTTCTTAAGGTAATAGTAATTCCTGTGCTATTTAGGTAAGAGAGTCAATCTTCTTATTTTTACCTTAATTCAGGAATCTTCTTCCTTCATGAAAGCATCTTATAGATAAAGGTAAAGGTTTCCCCTTGACATTAAGTCTAGCCATGCCCGACTCTGGGGGGTTGTACTCATCTCCATTTCTAAGCCGAAGAGCCAGCGTTGTCCGTAGACTCCTCCAAGGTCATGTGGCCAGCATGACTGGATGTAGTGCCATTACCTTCCCACAGAAGCAGTACCTATTGATGTAGTCACATTTGCATGTTTTCAAACTGCTAGGTTGGCAGAAACTGGGGCTAACAGCAGGAGCTCACCCTGCTCCCCATATTTGAACCACCAACCTTTTGGTCAGCAATTTCAGCAGCTCAGCAGTTTAACCCGCTGTGTAACCGAAGGGTCCATTAAAGCATCTTACATTGCTTTTAATTAAAATACTTTTAAAACCACCCCCTCTCCACACGAAAACATAGCTTTTGCCACTTGTGCATCTTTTTATTTCTGATAGATCTGGTTGGTTGGTTGCCTTATACAGAGGAATCCTATTGTATGCTTACCCAGGGATAAGTCTCATTATGTTAAATAAGGTTTACTCATCTAGCAACTGCATTAAGGTATGTAGTCTAAATGGTTTGCAGGTGTAAAGGGGGCAACATCTGTATGTAGTTTTGATGTGCCTTTGTAGAGACTCCAGTTAGAATTTGCAGGTGTAAGATGTTTAGCAGAAGTAAAGTCTGTGGTGGCATGAATGTATGTGTGCGACCCCATTCATTTCATAGGGTTTTCTTAGGCAAAGAACACTCAGAGATAGTTTTGCCAGTTCCTTCCTCTGCAATAGAGCCTACAGCACTTGGTATTAGTCGATGGTCTTCCATCCAAGTGCTAACCAGGGCTAAGGCTGCTCAGCTTTCAAGATAAAATAGCATCTGATACTTTTAGAAGATTTAGCATAGTTCCCTAGAAAATTATGAGACAACTTTTATTTTCTATAATTCTTCAGTGTTTTCATACCATTAGTCTGAATTAAGAAATCTCCATCTATTCCAGAATCCAGAGCCAAATACTATATGAGATGTATTTTGATTTCATAGATGGGAACACAAGTATATGACTAATGAGTTGTAGTGAAGAGGTGAGGTAGTCTATAAAACATATTCCTGATATTGCAAACAATAATTTTCTCTATATTTAGCTTCCAGTGTTAGTTATTACTTGTGGTCAACCTTTGGCATTGAATATTTAGCAAGTCAAATGACTTAATACAAATAGTGTAACCCTATGTGTGTTTGCTGAGAAAGAAGTCCTCCCTATGTGTTTAGGGCTCACTTCCAGGCCAGTATTTATAGGACTGCAGGCATGATGTATTTATCTATGTGATAAGAAAATTACTTAATTGAATATTAATAGCTGAAATAAAACATGGCAACGGCAATATTCTACCATCAAAAGAGTCTAGGCTAATGCGAATATTTTAAGGGTGGTGATGTTGTCTTTTGGCGACACACGTCAGCTTCATTCTGAAGCATTTTCTTGCAATGTACAGTATGTGGGTCAATGTATGGATGCTGTTAATCCACGGTGTTCTCTAGCTTTTGTTATATTCTGCATGATCAAAGAGTTCCTCCAGATAGGACAAAAGTTTCACCAGGCTGAAGTATTTGTCGGCACAGTCCTTTCTATGAAGCTTGTGTATCTCTGTGTATCGATCCTGTTGTTCCAGGCAGTTGTTAAAATTCTAGGATCCTAGATTTGGAAGAGACCACAAGGGCCATCCAGTCCAGCCCCATTCTGCCATGCATGAAAACATAATCAAAGCACCCCCAACAGATGGCCATCCAGCACCTGTTTCAAAGCCTCCAGAGAAGGAGAGTTCACTTTCCTGTGAGGTAGCATTTCTATTTCTGAATAGCTCCTACCATGTTCTCTTCTCCTCCTCAATTTTTTTTAAAGTCATAGTCTTGTGATGCATTAGTAAAATAACATTTTTGCACTATACATCGATACAAAATTAAAGGAGGAGAAAATTGATTGATTTACAGTATTTATATTCCTCCCTTCTCACCCCGCAGGGGACTCAGGGTGGATCACAATGCACATATACATGGAAAACATTCAATGCCATAGACACACAACATATATAGGGTTATTTAACATTCCAGCTTTTTTCATGAGGATATTCAGGCCACCAGAGGAGCTGTTGCTTCACCGTCCATTTGTGACACTGATGAAGTACTTCCTCATTCTTTGCATGCTTGCTTGAGATTTTTTTTATGGTGTCATAAATTAGCCTCCCCGCATAAGCCGTACCTAAATTTTCTACTTGACAGATGCAACTGTCTTTCAAGTGCAAAGGTCAACAGCAAGCTACGGAAATTGGTTGGAACCTCACTCTGACCCGGGCTGGCTTCGAACTCATGACCTTTTGGTCAGTAGTGATCTTAATGCAGCTGACTCCCAGCCAGCTGCACCACAGTCCACAGGCCTTGCAAACCACATGACCACTTCAATGAATCACACCCCAAGTGAACTATTGGAAGGGCCCTAGTACACATCTAAGAAATTGTTACAGACATCTCTCCAAAAAACCTTGTACATATAGACCAGTGGTTCACAAACTTTGGTTCTCCAGTTGTTTTGGCCTACAATTCCCAGAAATCTCAGCCAGTTTACCAGCTGTTAGGATTTCTGGGAGTTGAAGGCCAAAACATCTGGGGATCCACAGGTTGAGAATCAGTGACATAGAGGCAACAATAACAAGCAAAACCTGGGGTTATATTGTGGTTTCGTGCTTCTTCACACCAGCCTGGAAAGAAAACTTTGCATGAAGCTGAAACTGAAGCAGTTCTAAGGTACAGTTTTAACTGCTTATATAATTATGTAGACTGATGCTTCTTAAAGTTACTGATGTGTGGAATGAACAGATTCTTCTTCCAGTAGGCCAATAGCCAGAAGTATATTTCTGCTCACTGAATACAATCCCTTCTTTCTTCCTGGAAACTTTCCATAGCCAACCAGCCAATAACATCTGGTCTCTAGACCATCTCTGAGTAGCACCACTGTAGGCTCCTTCCCAGTCAGTAATGGTGGGTGGCCATCAGGTTCTGTTGGACATAAACGGGTTCTCTTCACCATCAGATCACCTGGAGTTTAGGTGTGGCTCATCCTCTGGCAAATGAAGAGGAAATCCCCACCCTCCTATTTCTTTGGTTGTGAAACAAAGTAGACTTCTCTGTTCAAAGGTCCTTTTCCTTCCCATTCAAAAGGAATGGTAATGTTCATAGTTTGGTTGTCCTTTCAGCTAAGTTTTTTTCACCTGGAGCAGGGAATGACGCAGGTTTTCTCCATTGAGAGAGAAGTATCCCTTAGAGAGAGCAGAGATGCTACTCAACAGAAGGTAACATCAGTGAGGGACTCGAGTAACACCATGAGAAAAGGTTACACTTACTTTTTAGCTTGGAGAAAAAAGGCAAGTGAAATTGAATAGTGGGCGATTCAGGGCAGATAAAGGTAGTACTATTTTGCACAGCTAAGTTGTAGAATCCACCTGCTTTGAGACAAAGGGATGGCTGCTGATTTGAGGAATATTAAAAAGTGAGATGTATTAGCAAAAGACAAGCTATGTAGTGGTTTGCGTAGTGGACTACATCTGGAAACCAGAGTTTGATCTAAAAGGGAGGGAGTTTGCACTAGCACACTTGAAACGTTTTGAAAGGTGTGTGTGTTTTGGATCAGAACCAAACAAAATGCCAGGAAATATTTATTTACTGTATTTTTATCCTGCTGTATCTCACTCCAAGGGGCGACATGACAGCTTGGTAGCAAGTAATCCAGTTTATGAGTTTACAGAAAAAAAGTTAATTTGACTGGATGGTAAGTAAAGAAAGGAGGGAGAAAGCAGAATCTTGCAGATGGATGATCTAATTTAGTTAGCACAGAATATTAAAATGGAGAAGAATGTCAGCTTAACTGGATTAGATGCAAATAGATGCTAGACAGATCTATGTATAAACAGATTTTCTGGCCAGCAAAAACCTGTTGTGTGTATTTTTAAATTATTGCATGGTTACTGCGCTATGTCTTATTTATTAATACATTTTGATCACAAAATGATGCAAGAAGTAGTTTACTTACCAGACCTCGCTGGGGTAGTCTATGGGAGCAATGGCAAACTGGTCAAGTTTGCCTTTCTTCTTCCTCCATGCAAATTTTTGTACAGGGTTAGCGTATTGACTTCATTGGGCCTAATAGCATGTCTAACGTTGGGTTCAGACTGTTTTACAGACCTGAATTCAATCATTGTAGTATGAGGGAAAGTTTTACCTATTGATATTTCTTGACAGGCAGCATTCAGGATAAAATAATAATAATAATAATAATAATAATAATAATAATAATAATAATATATTTATTTATTTCTGTACCCCACCTCCATCTCACCAGAGGGATTCAGGGTGGGGACTAAGCCCTGTCAGCATAGTTAAAATGTAACACATTACAGGATACAGTTTGTCAGAAGAAAAGAAGGAGCCTCCCAAAGTGATGGAGCTGACTGAGTGCCCCGCATGTGCTATATATAAGACCCAGGCCCGTAGCCAGGATTTTGATTCGGGGGGAGCTGAGTTTGATTTTTTTTGGGGGGGGGGGCTGAATCTGAGTGAAAGAGGGTCTACCCTAGCAAACCTTTTGTATCGTTACCCCAATATCCCCATGCATATGGGATATATTGAGCATGGTTATCAGATCATAATATGAATAAACATAACAGTTTAAATAATGTACCAGTAAGGCCTTCTCGTGGACCACCATGAGAATTTTGAGGGTGGGGGACTGAAGGCTACATGCCTGCAAGACCTAAACGGTTCTGGCCCAGACTACCTGTTCGAACATATCTCCTGTTATGAACCATCATGAAGTTTAAGATTCTCTGGAGAGGCCCTTTCTCGATCCCACCACCATCGCAAATATGATTGGTGGAGACAAGGGGCAGGGCCTCTCCAGCAGTGGTTCCCCATCTGTGGAATTCTCTCCCCAGGGACATCAGACTGGCCACCTCCCTCCTGTCCTTTAGAAGGAAACTCAAAATTTGGTTGTGGGACCAAGCGCTTGACAATCGAATAGCAGCAAGTGAGAAGAAGACGTAAGCATTTCGAAGCAACAATGAACTGACCCGGACTTTGATTTTAACTGGCGTGTTTTTAACAACTGTTTATTTAATGTCTTATTTTTAATGAATTTGTTAAATGTTTTTATTATTGTGATGGCACCGAATGGTGCTTGCTGTGAGGCCGCCCTGAGTCCCCCCTCGGGGGTGAGAAAGGCCGGGTACAAATATATGAAATAAATATTTTGCACATGTGGCAATGTAGTTTAGGAAATGGCAGGAAGAGAACCACATTTTAAAACTACACTGCAGCTGCAATTGGTGAACTATTTGCCCCTCAGAAAGGATAAATGGGAAATAGAATTTAAGACTCTCCACACATATTTTGCCAAGAAAATTCTGTGATAGATTCACCATAGGTTGAGTGCATACAGTAACAGCAATCCCACTGCAAAAGCATCCTCCAAGATGTGTATGAAGAGCCTTCAGGGAAGGAGTACTCAGCGGACATGGGCAACAGGTCTCTCTGATCACTGCCAGTGCAGCAATAACAAGTTAAACCAGTTGGCTGACCTACTTGTCTGGGAAAGCTCACATTCCTAAAAGCTCAGCTTGATGTGTTTAAGGTCTTTGCACTCCAGGAGATACACTGAAAGAGAGGAAAGCATAGCTAAGGACGACATCCAAGGCGGAACATCAGTGGGAGGAGAATTGGAACATCTACTTCCACATGTGCCTTAGACTGGCCACCCACTCCCTTTGAAAGGGATTTGGCGCTGACCCAAGTCTGTGGTGAAGTTTGGCTGCTGCCAGGCATCATTCAGCATCTGTACAGTTTGGTTTGGCATTCGTGCTTAGCAATGTTTGAGTAGCACGCAGCAGAAAGAGCACACACAGGTAAGAGGCCTCTGTTTGAGAAGCTGCCCTCTCCCCCTTTCTAGAAATCCTGATGATTTGGTGTAAAGAATATATCAATGGTTTATTCAACAAAAAGAGTGTGAGAGAGTGTCACTTACAGAAGCATGGAAGTAAATATCATGGGAAGACCTCTTTTATTGTTTTAATATGTTTGCAGGAATTCAGATTCCACCAGTTCTTCATTAGATTGGAACATGATTGTTTATAGTAAATGTTACTCTATGAACAGGGCAGTGATATATGCTTGGTGATTCTGTTGGGAAAACAAGAGATACTCCAACTAATTATTAAAGTTAATTAGCTAAATATGGGTTGGGAAAGGACTCAGACTATTCTGGCACATAGAGAGTTCCTGCTAGTTTCCTTAACTTGAAGGAGCATAAGGAAAACAAGTGCAGCTGCTCAGCGGTGGCCAAAACCCTTTACGCCTCGGGTCTCGTGAATTTGCAAGAACTACCAGCTCATTTAAGTAAAAGTTACAGAACACTGAAAATGTTTGCCAATATGGAAGTAGTATTTTTTTGGGAGGTTGATAGCTTTGGAGGATGGGTTCCAAAGTCCTCTGCATCTCATAGATTTATAGGATCCATTGGTGAATATTAAAAAGTACAAAATACTGTAAAATTATCATTTTTAAGAAGCCTGGAATCTTGCAAAGAATTATGGACTAGGGCAGAAGTCAGCAACCTTGGTCAACTTGAAGCCAAAAACATACTGGCAGTATTTACCAAAAGCCACACCAGTTTGAGAAATTACCAAAAAATCAAAACCAAAAGTAGCCAGCTATCCAGACTCCTGGTCAAAGTGGATTGGTCTGATCTACTTAGTTAGTGCTTTCCTTCTTAATTAAGGTTGTGTATTTAGAATTGCTTCACATATTACCTAAGTTTCAAAGATTAAGAGAATCTATACAGGCAGTCCCCAAGTTACAAACAAGATAGATTCTGGTTTGTTGTAGGTTTTTTCAGGCTATATGGCCATGTTCAAGAGGCATTCTCTCCTGACGTTTTGCCTGCATCTATGGCAAGCATCCTCACTACATCTGAGGATGCTTGCCATAGATGCAGGCGAAACGTCAGGAGAGAATTCCTCTAGGACATAGCCATATAGCCCAAAAAAACCCTACAAAACCTCCAGCCATGAAAGCCTTCGACAATACAAGATAAATTCTGTAGGTTTGTTCTTAAGCTGAATTTGTTTGTAAGTACATTTTCAAAATGTAACTCCAGACACACACACAGGGAAAAGGTGTCTCCACTGAAGTGTTATCACCAATCCTCATGTTTCTACAAGAAGCCATTTTTTTTCAAAATCCACTTATCACAGGAACAGAAAGTGAGGTGAAATCTTCCAAACAGGGCCACAGACAGCAAAACACACACCACAGGGGTATTAACCCTTCCCTATGCTATCCAAAGTGTATATAAGGGGGCGCAGTGGCACAGAGGATTGAACCACTAAGCTGCAAAACTTAGCATAGAAAAGTGTTAACACCCCTGTGGTGTTTGTTTTGCTGTTTGTGCCCCTGTTCAGAAGATTTCACTTCACTTTCTGTTCCTGTCGTCATTGGATTTTGAAAAAATTGGCTTGTTGTGGAAACGAGGATTGGTGATAAAGCTTCAGTAGAGAAAGCGTTTCCCCATGATAATAACTCTTTTAGGAGTTAATTTTCCTTAAGAGAGGTAAATTTCTCTCACTTACTGTTGTCTCACCCCTGTTCTTAACTATGAGTAGTTTGTAAGTTGGATGTTTGTAACTTGGGGACTGCCTGTACTCTTGTTTAAATCATACCAGTGGATAACACTGACAGCAATTTTAGTTAATTGTTTAGTGCAGGCTACACAAGAGAAATGTGATTATTCCTGTCCTACAAGTACTTTTGCTTGCAAACTTTGCTAGATGGGGACATGAAGGTGGTCTATCAAACTTGGTTGTGAACTGTCCTCACTGGTGGATCATAACATCTGTTGGCTTTGTTGTAAATAAAAAAAAGGGGTGGTTAAGAGGTCCCCATCCCCCCCCCCCATTTTAACTTTCTAGATGAGTTGATTGTAGAAAAGACATCTTGGCCAGGGGAAATGAAACGGACATAAGGCTGAGCTCCAGACTATCTAAAGGTCTGTGTTTTCCCATATGAGCCTCCTAGACCCCGAGATCTTGGAGGAGAGATCATTCCCTTGGTCCAACCGTTTTCATAGGCACATGGGAGAGGATCTTCTCAGTAGCTGCCCCTTGGCTCTGGAACTCCCTTCCTAGGAAGGTCAAGTTGGTTACCTCCTTGTTCTCCATTTGCCAGGAGACAAAAATGTTTTCTTCTAACAAGTTTTTCCAAACTAACTGCAAGTCTTTGTCATAATGTGGTGTACTAGTTGTAGTTTTTAGGTTTGTCTTTTAAAATGTATTTTTATGACTTAATTTATAGTTGTATGTTATTGTTTTATGTTAGGTTTTAATGTATGTCCAAGTTCTCTCTCCTTCCCCCACTTTCCCTTATGACCTCAGCTTCCATGAGTTGCAGCAAACTGAGTTTAATGTGCAAGAGTAGCTTATACTCAGCAAGAGGAAGGGAAGGTCAGGGGGTGAAATTTTGTCCTTTCCAGTCCACTCAGGCATAAGCAAATTACTGCAACCTCTCCAAACTTGTATGTGATTTCCCATGAATAACTGCCATCTTAGCTGTATTTTGGTTCCATTTGTCCACATGTATCCCAATTTTCATCTGTGAAATGTTTGAGGGTATGGGCTGCCATTGAAGAGGGTATACATTAAATTGTGTCTCATAAAGCATCTAGCTGCAGCAGGGATAGAACTTGAGAGCCCCTCTTGATGTTGTCTGACTACAACTCCCAGCATTCCTTAGGGTGTGATCCTGGATTCATCGCTGAGCCTGGAATCCCAGGTTTCGGCGGTGATCAGGGGAGCATCTGCACAGTTAAAACTTGTGTGCCAGCTGCGCCCATACCTTGGGAAGTCTGACTTGGCCACGGTAGTCCATGCTCTCGTTACATCCTGTATAGACTACTGCAACGCGCTGTATGTGGAGTTGCCTTCGAAGACTGTTTGGAAGCTGCAAATGGTCCAACGGGCGTCAGCCAGGTTGTTAACAAGAGCAGTGCTCAGGGAGCATACAACTCCTCTGTTGCACCAGCTCCACTGGCTGCCAGTTTGCTTCTGGGCACAATTTAAAGTGCTGGCTGTAGCCTATAAAGCCCTACTTACCTATCCAAACTTATCTCCCCTTATAAACCATCTAGGATGTTAAGATCTTCTGAGGAGACCCTGCTCTCGGTCCCGCCTTCCTCGCAGATGCGTTTGGTGGGAACAAGAGACAGGGTCTTCTCAGTGGTGGCCCCTTGATTGTGGAATGCCCTGCCTAGGGATATAAGATCGGCTCCCTGCTGCCTAACTTTTCAATGAAAGGTGAAAACCTGGCTTTTTGAGCAGGCCTTCCCAAATACGCCATAGTTATACGAAATCATGGAACCACTTGACAATGCAATTGAAAATGACTTGACATGGAGGCGCTCACAATAATGTTTTTAAGATTTTGTACGGTTTTTTATATTCTTATATTGTATGCTGATGTTTTAACAGTATTTTATTATTGTTTTACTTGTTATAATTGTTGAGGCATCAAATTGTTGCCAATTGTGAACCTCTCTGAGTCGCCTCTGGGCTGAGAGGGGCGGTATACAAATATGATAAATAAATAAATAAAATATTTGAATATGCTCGCTTGAGCTGCTAGCGATTGCAGGCCAACAGCATCAAGAGGGCACGTGATTCTCATCCTTGCTTTAGTGTAAGAAATTCCATGGGTATGAACGTTCTTATAACAACCTTGTGCAACACATTTTCATACCGCATCCATTGTACTTACCAGAATCAAATGTCATTGAATCAACCCAGTTTTACAAAATAATCATTTGACTGATCTTCCTCCAGACCAGCATACCAAGAATAGGCTTAAAAGGAGAAATGAATCATACCGAAACACATGCATTTGTGCATCAGCTTTAAAATCTTATTCATGTATTTGTCTGGGTTCCTTTTCTTGCTACAATCAAAAGAGAGGCAGAACTGAAAACAATCAACCCAAGAGGTAAGAAGGCAAAACAATTTTAAAAAAAGGAATATCTGTTTACTGGAATATTTGGAAAAGACTACTTTGCTTTAAAAGAGCCATTCTGGGGCAGTTGCTTGAGTATTGGACTACAGCTCTGGAGACCAGGGTTCAAATCCCCACTTGGCTATGGAAACTCAATGGGTGACCTTGGGCAAGACACATGCTGCTCTCAGCCTCAGAGAATGGCAAAGGCAACCCCACTCTGAATAAATCTTGCCGTGAAAACACTCTCATAGGGCCACCATAACTTAAAAACAACCTAGAGCAGTGGTTCCCAATCTGTGGTCTGTGATTGACAATCTCACCATTACTATACTGTTGCCTCGAAACTACGTGGCAACAAGAGCAACTGGTCTCGCAAAACCCTCTTATAGTGCTGAGGCAATGGGGATGTTGGGACTGGAGAGGCTGACAAAAGATTACTACTATCACATCAGCTCTAGATTATTAAATATGGTTTTCAGAGGGTGAGCAGATGGTGACTACTGGATTGCATATGTTCTGTATCAGAAACTAGAGCTGATGTGGTCTATCCAATGCAATTTTCTGAATCAGCACCCCAAATTACCAAACCGAATCGAAAGTTGACCAAAAACTGATTCATAACCCTTTTGATACTAATGTTGGAGAGTGGTCTCTGATCAAGTGGTCCCTGGGTAAAGTGGTTCCAAGTAAAAAAAAAAGTGGGGTTGGGAACCACTGACCGAGAGGTACACCTCAAGAAGGGACAGTCTGCTTGATAGTTTATAAAGTATTCAAATGAAAGCAGCACCTACAAGGAAGGATTTAAAATGTTTCAGGGACATGCTCATTTTAAATGTCTTGAAGTAGCTTTTGATAAAAAAAATTGAAGCCTTTTAAGAAGAGCATTCATACAGATTTGAGAAGATAAAGTGAGGCTTTGTCTACAACCTATTAGAAATGCTAGAGACTAATTTATAGGGTATTTTCAATCTTGTATATTCCTATAGGATTCCAGCTTTGCATCTTAATCCTAAGTAGTTCAGTTCTAAAAAAAATCAAGTGCCTTTTAGAATGTGCTACTATCACTATAGGCAATCCCTCATAGCCGAGTATGATTGTCTTCCAAGCGTAGAACCTTGGTAGAGGGTCTGTAAGTGACTGTAGAAACCTATTCTGGATCCTCATGGTCTTTCACTGTAAGGACATAGATTTCCAGGCGGAAGGTGATCGGACAAGGGTTTGCTTTGGCGCACCTTCCACTTGACACGTTTCTCCCTTTCGCCCTCTATTTGTGCCTTTTAGACTGTAAGGATACGGCAATCCTGTATACATTTACTTTGTGAACAACCCCTACTGAACCTAGTTTCAGAATAACAATGAACAGGGAGGATTGCAATTCAAAACCAGTTGATTTTTATGGAGTTTTAAGAGAGTGCATCTTTTGCTGTTCTGTCAATTGTGTGGTTTTAAGAATCAGAGTATTTCTGAATTGAAAGCTGTTTTTGTAGTTGTTACAATATTTAATGACTTGAATTTCTATCTCCTGCTAGATTTATAAAATTCCCTTGGGCTGTTTTTTATTATTAACCACCAATATTAAATGGTGGAATATATTACTGTGATTTGAAACTGTTGCAGTAAAAGATCCGAATGTCTTCATGGGATTCCTCATTAACTGAATGCTGTTATTCAGAATATTTGTTTCTGTCTGTCCTAAAATCCTTTAAAATGTCTAAAATGCTATGTCTTCCAAAGTTACTTTTCCTTCCTGAATTCTGGAGCAGACTATTCAAATGGGGTGTCATTTGGTTAGATTCCTGTCTTTGGTATTCTCCAGTGATGGGGAGCATTTTCAAACTGCAGAGTTATCGCAGTATGAATCCAGTTTATCTGCCATGGTTCCACTATATGGGAACCTGGCATTTGGAGTTCCTCATTCAATGCCTCTGAGCATTCTCTAGGATGTTGCCATGGTAGTTAAAGCAGAATCATAATGTTATAATTCTGCAGTATGAATAAACTCTGCATTAATCTCACACCTAATCATAATGCCCTAACAAGCAATGCAGTGTCTAAAATCAAGGCTCTGCAATATGTGCGAGTTGAGGGAGGAATTAAAGGCATTTTAATTGAACAAGAAATCTATTTAACTCAATGTGAGCTGTAAGTATATTTACATAAAGAAAAATAAGTAAGTAGAAGTAAAGAGCAAGAGTGAGGAAAGTGTGGTTCACAGGTTGAGCGTAACCTCCCAAGTTAGATTTTGAACCTCCCAACCCATTTTTTAATTCAAAGAAATTCTGATCAAAATACTCCCATGCTGTTTACCTGGTAATGCTGGGAGAATGTTATCACGTCCTTCCTTCTGGGCTATTTTAGGCCCTGGGAAATAGTTTTAAAACTGGGAAGTATAGTAGAAGTGGCTTCTAGTTCACTTCCTGATTTTTAAATACCGTAGCTCCTTTTAAGGCTAAAACAAAACAAGCACAAGAAATGGCAAAAAGATATTAATTTGCCTCCAAGGTTCCTGGACAAGAAAGCAGTTTTAAAATGCTCATGAAAAGAGAAATGGGGCTGGAGATAGGGCAGAAATGTGGCTATCCAAGGTCTAGTGAGGGGCATGTCTTGACCCCAGAGCATTGATAGTTGCTTCGGGATGTTTATGCATTTCTTAGACTATGCCTTTATGTTATACTTGTGCGCAGAATTCATTTCTTCCATTTCCTCAGTTTCTTTTGGGAGCCTGTAATGGTAAAGGCCCTCCCGTTACAAAAACCCACTCAACATGAAAGCAAGCGGGAGCCGATCTCGGTGCCCCCTCTTCTTTTTGGCATCACTGTTTAATCTTTTTTATTAATCCCCCAGCAAACAAAAAGAAAATCCTAATTCCCTGTAAACTACTCTCCTCTTCCAGGAAGTCATTGCTCTTCCTCACCTTGAAGCCTTCTTAAAATGCCTTGGAAAGAGTGTGTGGCTGCTGGCATGGTGCAGCCTAAGAGAGAAAGTGTGCATGCCTGTCTTCAGCTATGAACCTCTCCTCTAGAGTAAGAAAATTAGAACTTGCCCTGGAAAGAGTGTGTATGGTGTGCAGGCCCGGGAGAGAAAGTGCATGCCTGCTTGCAGCTGAGTGCTTCTCCTCTAGAGTAAAAACAGGTAAAAAGCCTCCTTGAAGTGTGTACCTGCCTGCAGCCAAGCATCTCTCCTCTAGAGTAGAAACAGTTTACATGCCTAAAATGATGGGAAGGGGACTCCCTTCCCCAATAATGGGCTGAAAGAAATTTATGTTTTGGCACCCCAGAGCGAAAAGAGATATCTGCCCTCCCAATCTCAGGAGGCACCCAAAAAACAGATCGGGGCTCCCAATGAAAGCTGGGCCACAAAACGGGTCAAAGTTTACCCGCATTGCACAAGCCTACTTAAGAAACAATATTAGAGCAGCAAAGCAGTACTTGGACATATCTGAGTCACATTGAAAGTTGTTCTTCCTTCTGTCAGCCACCTGGTATACTCTGTCTCGAGGTGACAACAGAAATTGGACAGGGGAAACCTATACAATATTGGAATGGCATAATAGAGAAATAGTATTACATAAACACATTCCCTTTTTTTAAAAAAAAAAGTCCATGGTCTCACTTCAAAGTGATGTGAAATAAGAAAACTTACAGGTTTTTGCCACAACACTATGAATGGCATTGACAAACTGGAGTGAGACCACAACAGTGGTTTCTCACATCTTCAGCCTTGGCCTCAAGGTGTCCCTTAAGACAGTTCTGAGGACAGTTCTGCTCTGTGTTTTACAACAAATAAGAAGAGAAAATGTCTCCCCGAAGTTGCTATTAAAGTACTACAACTTTCCCCATCCCTGAAATCCTAACATAGGAACTTTGCATGGAAATGAGCCTTCAATTTCAAGCTTGTGTGGTGTAGTATAAGTTGAATATCTATCCCTTGTCCAAAATGCTTGAAGTGTTTTGGATATTTATTTATTTATTGCAATATTTGTATTGTATTTACATATATAGGTACATAATTAAATGTTGGGGGTTGTTCTTGAGTCTAAACATTACATTCATTTATGTTTCACATACACATTATACACATAGCATGAAGGTAATTTTATATAACATTTTTAATAATATTGTGCATTTAACAAAGTGTATATATTGAACTATCACAAAGCAAAGGTTCTTACTCTCTCGGGTCATTATTGCACCCTTGCTGCTGTCCTGTCCTTAGGATGAGGGACAACAGCAATTTACCATCATAGTGATAGACAGCTTCACACAGACACTGACATCATATGATGGTGACTCAGTGACTGGGAAGCATAATTTCACCTCCCCACTGCGCTGCTACTTTTCCTTGTTTTTCATTTCATTTCATTTTTATAAGCACTTCACAGTTGTGAAAAAATTAAAATGAAAAATACAAAAAAATTGGGAAGAAGTCATGACAGGGAGACCAGCAACAGGTATTGCATGATATTGCTTAATACAGACCATTTGTATATTTGGGGGTTGGGGGTGTTGGAAATAGCAACCTTCCAAGCCTCCACTAACTGTTTGTTAATATATACAATTGTTAGCCTGCATTCTGTGTGAATGTTGATTTGCCAGTTTGGCTTACCTTTTTGATGGGGGAGGAGTATAGTTGTGATTGTACTGAGCATGTGCAAACTCAGAACTCCATTTTTTGTTCATTTTGCTTTTGGACTTAAGTGAGGTATATCTGTGTTAATGGACTTCAGTGGTATAAGTCTGCTTACCACTTCATTGGAGGTGGATGTGTGTGCTCATGGACTTGAGAGAGTACAAATATATTTAAAGACATTTCAGGACTATGTGCCTGTATGGTGAATATGAACCTACAAGTTTGTTAGTAAACCAGATACGTTATTTTCCAAAGAAGACTACTTTGTTTTATCTCTTGAGTGCATGTCTTAAATAAGAGGTTTTAAGGGAGTGTGTGTATGTGTGTGTGCGCAGCAATCACATCTGCAAATTCTACTTCAA